CAACGCCCGTGCTCTTTTTTCTTCTCTGACCAGCTCAACCTGTTAGGAATCAAAGAATGCAGCTGCGATCCATAATCTTCAGGTACTTTTGCAACCTTTTTTTTCTTATTTATTCGTTTCCTGATATTTTGTCGTCTGAAATCTAAAGTAGGAAGCTCTTGCTTGATCTGGGCTGGATCGCACTCTCCATTCTTTATTCTTTGCTTAGAATCTCCGATCGTTACTTCTGATTGCGAGTTAAGGGTACTTTGCTACCGTCCCAGGTCATTTTGTCAACTAAATTTCTATGCTAATCCAAACCCATGACTTCGAGGATCAAGATGCCACAATCTTCCACCTATCAATACTAACCCACTGCTCTGTCGGTGCTATTTATTTTTTTTTATTTACGGCTGTTGCACAACAGCGGGTCTCAAAAATAATGTAGGAATGAAAAGTGAAGATTACAATACAATATTTCCCATGAATGATAAGGAATAGAAATGAAATGGAGCAAGAAATGATAATAAATGGTTGATAACCGGCCTCGCAAGGGCCTCGGGGGGGGGGGGGAGAGAACACAGCCGAAGCCATACATAGTTAAGAAATATAGTCAAAGCATAACAGGAACAGCAAGTCGATTACGATCACAAGAGGTTTGGAGAAGAAGATCATGTACTGTGATGAACAGAGTCAGAATTATGATATTGGAGGAAGGACTGAGAGAAGAGGTTGACAGCTGCTGAAAATTAGTATTATTGCTGGACAAGGAGACACGAATATTATCAGAAACACTTACATAGTCTGTCAGAAGTGCCCCTAGTTTCCTTACCTCAGAACTGGGAAACAATGAAGAGCGAAACTGCCCCACTGATACGAAGGTACTTGAGCATGGTGCAGTTAGTGTGAACGAGAACGCCTCTGTCATCGGTAGGCATGTCGAAAACGGGCGCGGATCCGAACCTCCAAACGCGCATGCCAGAGCTGCGAACAGCTCTCTTCGCCATATGACTGGTAGATACGGCGGATGTACGTGCAACCATGCGCCGGCGGGGGAGGAACGACACGTCATGTCATTAACCCTTTTATTAGCTTCGTCCTTCAAGGCTGACTGGAAACCTCAGAGAGTTTCACTGTCACTATGAATCAGATGTCGAAGAAGGAAAATATCCCTACAGTTAAAATGTGGCGCTTCCTACGAAGAAACTATGGGAGTCTTCCGCGACAGGGTCTGTTACGTGCCTACATCGCTTTCAAACACTGGTGCATACAGGGCGCAAAAAAAAATCGGCAAGAAAATAAGGGTCCGATTCCGGGTCTTAGGTTGCTTCGGTTCCGCTGCTGAACCATATGCACTTCTACTTCTAATCCTATGGGCCACCATTAGCGCACCTCATTTTTCTCAAAGAATAAGGGTACCTTTTTTTCAGATCTTACAATATATGCGAGAAGTGGTCAAGGCAATAGATGGAGTGAGAGTTGGAATGATCAAGATTACCAACGTTCCAAAAGTTGATTTGCCAATTGAAGAATATTCTGTCAACAGACTTCAGTAAGCTGGTGAAACGACTACCAGTTATCAATCTTTGCTCCTGATCTCGATGATGTTACACATGTGACATCCTACAGATGTTGATGATTCAGGGAATTTCTGCGTGAACACAGAAAATTCAAAGGGCAATCAACAAAGCTCGGTTACTCTTTATATCTAGCAAATGAAGCATTAGCGGTGAGTTGCTGCCGTTGGACTTCGGGAACACAAAGTGTTTTTTTGACAAACTTAAGGTTAATGAGGGCGCATCTACCTTTTGAAGAAATCTCTCACAAATCCATACTCCTTCAGAATTGAAATCCTACTTACAATATAGCGCTTTGTCTGTCGCTCTGTGCGTCGTTTATGTCGTTCAGTTACAGTGCAGTCACAAAACTACGTTCTTCTTGGAGACTCGAGTAGTGGAGTACTTAAAGGCAGCGACTACGATAAAGGGCAAGCGCACCGGGGATGCATATGCAGCACAGTCAGTTACATGATTGCCAGGAAAGCGAGATATGGCGCTTTTACAACGAAAGGTGGGTTGGTTGCTGAGCAGAACATCGAAAGAATCCGCCTGCAAAAGCGATGCGCCCTCTAGTTTGCTTGTTGATTTGGACGAAGCCACGGGCCAATCAGCACGAAGAATGAGCACCTCGATTAAAGCGTAGTTTCGCATGTTGCCATCAAACGCGTTGCGGTGAACACTTTACACACCCAATTTCTGTGCTGCAACCTGTTGAGTGAAAACCATCGCACAAAAGGGGTCCCGTTTTGCGTTTTCTTGACGGATTTTTCTGCTTTTTTTGCTACAGCGTACCACTGAGCACCACCACGTCACCTAAACCCTTATCAAATTTATCGTAATCGCTGCCTTCAATATAAACGGCATCGAAGAAATTGTGCGAGCCGTGGTGGAAGCATACACTCCGTTTCCGTGACCAATTCTACTAGCAGAAACGAGGATGGCAGCTATGGAAAGCAGTCTGCTCTGTCAGCAAAAAAATATTATATTTTGGAACGATACACGACAAGGCATCTAGTATCGTGGCAAACAAAACTGCTTTGCGAGAAACTTTTAAAATCGAATTTGAAGCGCGCCATCAAGGCCACTAAACAACGAGCAAGCGACCGTCGGCAGACGTCGCTTTTATTCATTTCTGAATTCCAGTCAGAGTTAGTGAGCGGGCAGGTCAGGACTATGTATAGAGATTGCGCTGTCGCGAATATTCCTGAGACACACGGCCGTGAAGTTGCCACCTCTCCGCCAGAAAACTGGATGTTCGTCTCCGTCCCACACAATCTCGACATCTGCAACGACTTCCTAAATGTTCAGGGAGAATAATAACCGAAGGAGATGAAACACAGTTGGAACCCGTATCGTCTCTCCGTCTGCCACTCCTCTCTTGTTATCCGTTTATCACCGATGATCTCTCAATGGACATAGACGCGCTGTAAGAAGATCAGGACTCCTTATCATTCATTCTGACCGCCACCTTCGCTACGGGTCTGCCACCATCATTGCAAAACCAGTGCAAAAGAGCAAAGTACTATATGTGGAAATGAGGTGTGCCAGATGAGGTGTGTTGTGTATAAAGTAGAACCAGGTTGATACATCTACGGTGGAGAAACGGGCCAAGACAGCCCTACAAAAGAATGGGCGAGCGTATAAGAGCCCCGTAGTCTCCATAACCCACGCAGAGCGCCCATTCTCAAAACACCGCACACTACGACATGCACAAGAAGTGCGCGCAGAGTTCCGTGTTGTTGTCCTCCACAAATGTCACTGACCCCGTCGAGCGAAAGGCAAGGAATTCTCGGAAACAGGGCAGTGTGACCATAATAAGAAGGAAAACCATTCTACGCAAAGAAAAACTTGTGACTACATTAAAATAATCATTCCCTTTCCTCAACATGTAAAAGCCTTAGTAGCATTGCATTCCCATTTCCCTGCGTCAATCATCTCGTCCTTCTCCTCGCTGCTTTCCAGTAGGAGGTGTTGGTTGGATGCACCTGTTATATGTATTCATGTGTTGTACTAGTGCTATGCTGTTTTAGTTGATTGAAGAAGGGCTCGGGCCTGAAACGTTATCGGATAAGATATTATTGAGCTATCCCTGAGCCTCATAAATCGTATATCTTCTCTTTAAAATTCTCGATGAGGACTCTTCTAATATAAGCTTTATTGGTTAGCTTTCGCTGTAATAACAGCTTCTTCAGTCATTGTCCTGATTTGTACAATAGCCTTGCAGAATACCCCATTAACGAGAGCATCGGCCTGGTCAGTTGATGGTTGTTATGTTGATGTTTCTTATATTTGAAGTATTGTAATATACCTGATGTTTCTTGTAGGTCTGAAGAAGCTGTTATTACAGCGAAAGCTAACCAATAAATCTTATATTAGAAGAGTCCTCATCGAGAATTTCAAAAGAGAAGATATCAGAAAAATATTCGGGAAAGGAGAATGTAAAAACACGGAACAAAAAGAAGAAAGCAAATAAAAGCTAAGGGTAAAGGGTAAAGATACGCCAACACAGCGAACCTCTTGTAAAAGCTGGTGCACGCCAGCAGCCAATCTCAAAATCACCCTGCTTCTCATTTCTTCACAAAATCAGATTGAGATGAAATCAGATCAAATCGATTTTTTGTGATTGTAAACTTTTGAGAGCAGATATTAACGAATCTGATCCGATTTACCCTTGAACCGGATTCCTCCCATGAAGACTTTCGGCTTTTAGCGATTAGAATTCAGCAGACCCGACATATGTAAGCTTACAAACAAATAAATTTACATGTATGTTCAGAAAGAGAAAACTGATGTGAAAACAGTTGTTGTGCTTTCGGATGGCGGTGAAGACACGTGTTGGCGATATCAGATCTGTGACATGACTGATGAATGGATTCCATATAGAATGCAGCAGTTAGATCAAGCGGATAAGGTGGGAGGACAGCCAATGAGCGTAAAAGCAGGAAGAGACTATTGAATGGCATAATGAGAAGTACATATTTAATTTCAGATACGGAAAGCCGGCGCTGTACAATTCATATACGTGGCAGTTGGGGAAACAATTAATCCAAAGCATTGGAGATATAATACGACCAAATACGATATTATAGCCATTGCTGGAGGAGAAGAAAATGTTATTTATGCAGGCGAATATAAGGTCCAGTTCACGCATATAATTCCATCTGAATGCGTGTAAAATACTGTTCACTTCGAAACTGCAAACCATAAAGGATCAAGGTTAAAGCGTTCGCCATGATCAATCCCTTTTGAGTTGCGCCACGCATTCTATTTCTATTCATATTCAATGGCACTTTAAAATGCGATTTGGCCTATACAATGACTTGCGCTGTGTGCGGGCTGACGCTGACAGCCAATCCACATGTCAAGATTTTTACCCTTGCAGACAAGTGTGGTTCCAATTGAATGACTCCCGAGCAAGGTCCAGCGCGCCTTGAGAAATCCTCGGTGGTGGGGATCGTAATAGGTCCAGTGGGAAGGAAGAGGTTGTGAGTGCTAGAATCAACAATGACAGAGCGGTAGCCTGCTTGGGAGTGAATGGAACCGCGATTTGCACCGGATGTCGAGGCACGGCGTGTCCCATGGCAAGTTTGACCAATGCCATGCGCCTTAACCTGTAGAGGAGATGTGAGCTCAAAAGACATTAAGAAGTTCCCGTAAGGGACCGTTTAAATGACCACAAGGTATCCACTGCACAAGCAGAAACACGGATTTTAGCGTCAAGTTCATAAAAATATAACCATAAAAGGTAAAAGCATTACCACTACCACTTTTGCACTTACTAAAAGAGAAATTTTGTGAACCAAGGTTATTTACGTACAGAACTGTCCACCAAAGAAGCTGTGATCGTTGAAAGAGTGACCGTGCAACAAATTAGGACCTCTCTGCCATAATGGGACAATACCTCAACGGGGTCATTTTGAGAGACAGAACGAGTGAAATCAATCTAATAACCATTGGATAGAGAAAATGTTCTATTTTACGAAGTCGTTTGAAGCTTTCTGGAATATTGCATTTGAAGGAAGTTATGACTTTCCAAACTGGAAAAACTCGCTCTTCTCAAAAATTTTCCTCGTTAATGACCCGGAAACGCTATCTCCCCATTATCTCCACAAACTGAAGACTGCTCAGAATGTAGTCGTCGGGGGACTTTGACTTCTTTCGGATTGAAAATTCGCCCACCTCGAAAAAAGCTATGCTCATTTGAATTCTGACTTACGACCCCCGGGGAAGGGGGACTTCATAGCTGTCGTCGACGCGACATTTGACCGTGCACCCTAGGGGTGGAAAGTGCAGGCTCAGTTGGCTTAGATGGCTCGCGATCCAAGAATTGATGCCTGGGCTGTACGTGGTAAGCAGCGCTCCTGCACCACATACGACTCATTTAAGCAATGGAGAAAGATGTGCAGAAATTACGAGAAAATACCATATACGATGCAGTTACCTTAGCAACGACCCTACGAATTCCTTTCAACATTTTCCTTCACCCGGTGATTGAGACCAGACTCGACTTGGAAAGATCTTTTACCATTGTAAAGCATTTGTCTCACTGAATGGAGGGTTCTAGTCTTTCGATGTGTTGACGATGACTATTAACCGATTGCTTGATGATAAATAAATGTAAAGGAATAGCGCTATTTTGTAGGTTCTAGATCAACTAAGCCCTTCAATAGAGGCAGAGACCCAAGTGCAGGATGGTGCCACAACTCGCGTAAACGTTACCGTACGGCCAATGATTAGCTTCGCGCATTTCACTAGCAGTGCGAGAACACCGAACCTCTCCCGCGCGGTATCGTCTCTCGATGAAGATCAAGCATCGGAAAGTTTCACCAGCAGCAAGCACTGTAAATCACAACTGGTCAGATGATAACCTGTAGATCACCAAGCAGTTTTGTGGCGCCCAGCCATCTTCGTCCTGATAGGGGACACGAAATAGTGT